CGGGCCGCAGCGAAACACTGATCAGCCTCTACCCTTTTGTTTTAATTTGAATTAAATCTTTCTTCAAACATGATTTGCTTCTCCATCTCTCCTACTATGCACCCCTCCACCTACTCTAATGAAGAATTCAAACCGAATCTCATTAATTTCTTTTCATCGACCAAACCGTCCGATTCAACTCGAGTAAATAGAATAGTACAACAGTAAATACTTAAAAGCAAATAAACTCTCGTTAAGCACGTTCCGCCGCATGAATAATCAACTATGTACTTCCATAGTTAACTACATATACATATATGAGTGCTCGTTTAAACCTATGTGCAATTGTACGCTTCTGTTTGTATTCATTTACTTTGGTTGCGGGTGTCGCTTCCGTTTACTGACGCATAAATTCTAAATTGATTGAGGAAAAGAAAAAAAAAACAGCAACAACAAAATTAGCAACAACAACAACTTCGAAGACTACAAATCGTGAGCTTGTTATGGTCATTAGCTGACTGTTGGACGCTAAACATAAGTAACCATTCTTAATACACACACACACACACATACTTAGTATATTGTATTTATACAAGTAGACAATTGTACACCATAAATGGCAGCGTGTCTGAGCACCCATCGAGCTATTAATGTGAGTAAGTGGTTTTTTTTTTGGCGGAATCGGCGTCGTCTTTTCGCGCTACAAACTTAATTCTGGACTCGCAAAGTAGCGGATAAACGCTCTTTACTCAAGCAAGGTACTATCGTGGGTACTTAAATGTACATATACTACATACATACTCGCATGTGCATACTTACATATATACCTACACATACACGTACGTATGTACATATTCCAAAATTTTTAAATGACATAATGATGTGCGTAGATTGGCGATTGCACACAAAAACCGATGAGTTACTTCAATTTATTTTCCGATTATATTTTTTAACTTTTGCCCATGGGCATTTCTCCAATGTCGAATGCGACAATCGCACGCATTTAAAGTGAAAAATGAAATATACAAAAACAAAATTTTATTTTACCAAATGACGAAATTTGTAGCACTTGATTAGCCCTTCGATTGATCTCAGCTATGGTTTTGGCCAATTGTACGTTTTTAAAATAATTTAAAAAAAAATCGCATGCGACAAAAATTGATGTACCCAAGAAATATTTAAATGCCACTAAATTTAAACAGTTATGCATTGTTATATTTAAATAATGGCTTTTGTTTTTTTTTTTTGTCAAAAATATTGAGTAGTTTATCCATAATGTAATATAAATCGCAGTCGCATGCGACATTTATGTTTTTTACCTTTTATGTATTTAGGCAGGTTTAAGATAATTATAAATGGTGTTTAATATATTCAATAAATTTATTTTCACAACCAAAATTATAAAATTAACAAAACGTTTTCAGTATAGGAAAACAAAATTAGTATAATCCTATTATTTACATAAATAAAGGATGATTTTTTAGCTATTCTCTTTTTGGCAACACTGGTTTAAACAGCTGACGCACGTTTCGTGTTTTGTATCACAGTCAAACGTCTTCAGTGTGGTCTATAATTCAACCAGGATTCTTCTTACAAACGAACAACGCTTACAAATTATTTAATTTTATTATCAAAATGCGTGCCCTGTTAAGAAAGCTCTTCAAGCGCTTCTTCCATTTTATGGTCAGTTTAATCGACCCATTGAAGTGGCTATTCGGACTAATGAGACTTAATTTTGCATCAAATTTACATTGTTGGACATTGAACCACCAACACGCTTACGTAGAGTGCGAACTGGAGAACGATGACCCTCAAGTATCGATTCGTCGCCGTTCGCAGCAATCGGGCCTCGCTTCCTCAACAATGTGGAAAATTTTGCGGAAGGATTTATGTGTGAAGCCGAACGACCTACTGCAACGCAGAATTCTCAGTGCATTGGCTCCTAGAAAGTTGGCCGAAGATCCACTTTTTATCGAAAAATTTTGTTCAGCGACGAAGCTCATTTTTTGCTTAACGGGCGCGTAAATAAGCATAATTGTCGATTTTGGAGTGAAGATCAGCCAGAAGTATTGCAAGAGCTACCAATGCTTCCAGAAAAATTCACAGTTTGTTGCAGTTTACAGTCTGGGATGGTGGCATCATTGGACCGTTCTTCTTCATAGGTGATGCGAATCGTAACGTAACTGTGAATGGTGAGCGCTACCGTGAGGCGATATCAAATTTTTTTTGCCCAAAATGTAAGAGCTTGACTTGCATGACATGTGGTTCCAACAAGACGGTGCCACATGCTACACAGCACGCGTAATATGGACTAAAAAAAGAATTTTCTAGATGCTTTTTATTATAAATAAAGTGGAAAGAGCTGTAATTTTTTTATTTTTTCGAAACTAAAACTTATTGGGTAAAAGCAGGTAACTGCGGCGCCGATTGGCTGTCCAGGTAGGGAGCAATCTGCAAAGCCTGACATAATGTCGGTCAGCATATCACTTTCCTTGGCCAAGTATTTGCTAAGACTAGATTTCACCAGAAGTACCAACAGCAGATGACAGAGGGAAACCACGTGCAATTACTTCTTTCAAATATAATCTAACCGGACTCTGTTTTGTGGGGACTCATGCGAGAAGGCTGTTTCTCAAACAATTTTTCTACAACTGCCCAGCTCTGAGTGCTTTCCGTCATAGATTTCTTGGAAATTTCTTCTTCGATTGCTTAAAAGAGTTTGTAACTCTAGGCATTATTAATCTTCTATGCTTCTCAAAATACACCAAGTGACTTGAACATCTGGAAAGGTGAAAGGAATCTCCTTCACAGATCCAATAGATCATCACTAGATCCTGTGAAGCGAAATAACTGACTATAATATTCAAAAGCGTTCGGACATTTAATCGACTTAAATGACTTTTAGCGTAATATGAGACGGCTCTAAAACTGTGAGACTTATTTGTATTCAAATGTAGATGTGGCAAATTCAGTCAGCTCCTTATCTTTTTAAATTCGACTTAAATTTGGGTGGGAGAATCTCCTCCCTTCCTTTGTAACAAAAGTCTTTAACGCCGTTTTTGAGGCCTCATGCCCTTTATCTATCCCATCGGGGAAGAAGGGACCCAAATGGAGGAATAATGAAATCTCTGATTTAAGGAAAAGAAGTAGAAAACTCTTTAATGAAGCCAAAAGAACGGGCTCCTGGCAATCATAAAGCTTGCTTAATCTTAAAACCTGTATAAGGAAGGCAAAGCGTACACCTTGGAAAGCCTTCTGCGGTGAAATTAAAGGCAATTCGGAAGGCAATAGACTAAGAAAAGTCCTCCCCAAGAGCTCTGCAATCCCACATTACATCCAGAAACCAAATAGACGACATCTTGTAAAGAAATGCTGGACATGCTCATGAACACCTACTTTCCGGGATGTTCCACCAGACACGACCACACCTTACGGGAAGTAAGTGAGCAGTTCCATGACGTCGGCAGCATTGTTTGCCGTAAAAGGGTGGATTAGAAGATTAGGTCTTTCCAACCGTACAAATCTCTAGGACCAGATGGAATCTTTTCCGCTGAACCTTAGAGGGCGGAGGATATTCTATACCCATTTCTATGTAAAATTTACAAGGCCTGTCTACGCGTAGGGGATGTACCCTGCAAGCAAGGATAAGGACCAAAGTAATTTTTATCCCAAAAGGAGGAAGCATTTTCGACCAATCAGTCTCACCTTTTTTTAATTAAAAATCTTGGAAATGCTTCTGGATAACTACATACGCCGTAATCTTCCCCTAAACAGCCTGGCAAGTCTATTGACACAGCTCTGCATGATATAGTCGGTTGCATCGAAAAAGGACTTGCCATGAAATAATATACACTAGGAATTTTCCTCGATATCGAGGGGCTTTCAACATTAAGTGATTTACTCCAAAATGCTCTCTGTATAGTTGAGGGATGGTGCAGAGACAGCGGGCTGGACGTGAACACTGATAAAACCGAGATGGTGTTATTTACCAGGAGGTACAAACTGCATGCCTTTAAGCCACACAAACTAAAGGAGTGAAAGGAGCGGAGATTACCCGCTCTCCCGAAGTCAAATATCTTGGGATAATCTTAGATAGCAAACTAAAGTGAAGCTGGAACACGGCAAAAAAATCAAGGAAAGCTATAACTACACTCTACGCCTGCAAAACGACGATAGGAAAGAGATGGGGCTTAAGACGGAGTATCGTGCATTGGATATACACATCGTTAGTTAGACCAATCCTATTCTATGGGGTCACCTTCTGGTGGCCGGTACTCGATAAAATCATCTTCAGGAGCAAATTAGAGAGAGTTCAACGATCGGTGTCTATCCTGATAACAGGAATAATGCCATAGACACCCTCGAAAGCACTGCTAACTCAACTCAACTTCCTTCCTCTGGACTTATAAAACTATAGTAGAGGCGGGTTCCCAGGCAATAAAATTGAATGCAACTCTACCTTGAAAGATTTGCATTATACGACTTACAAAAATATTATCTCTTAAAGAAATGCCGAAGGAGGAGGACTAGACCAACTCCAGTGTATGCTTCGATATTCTTTTCCCCACGAAAATCCCAAACAGATGCGAGTGGGAAAACACCAACGAATCCGACCAGGGATCAATAGCCGTCTTCACAGACGGCTCGAAGCTCGATGGATGCAGGGTAAAACAAAGAAAAAATTTACCGTAATTGGCAATCGCATCGTTCCTTTTCCATTTCGTTTATATTCTTTACATACTAGACAGGATTTAAAAAAACATATGCCAATGAAAAATGTCTCTTAGCAAGATCATTAACCAAATCAAAATACGCCGAAAAATGTTAAAAACAGAATTTTCGCACTTGTTCGACTTTGGATTCGAAAATTTGAAATTGTGGCATGAACAAATAAAATGGAATGGAAATTTTTGGCTTTTGACTTGCGGTTAACATGTTTGTGGAAATGCCCATATATAATTAAAAAAAAAAAAATGCTTAAAAATTCTTAAATTTTTTTTTGTTTTTTCCTCCATTTTCAGCACAGATAACATGTCGACCGATTCAAAACAGCGCATCCAGGTGCCCGAAGCGTTGCGTGAGGTGCTGTTGGAGTTCTCAATCGCATATCTACTCGAACAGCCTGGCGATGTTGTGGACTATGCAGTACAGTATTTTAATAAATTGCAATCAAATCGTCAGGCAGCTGCAAATTTCTATCGCCCAGATTCGCCAGAGAGCAGTATCATGTCACAAGAGGAAGGTAAGTGGTTAATTGTAGATAATACGTGGATTACCTTTTATATTTTGAGATTTGGCAACCCTAGTGTTGCTATCTGGCAACTGAAAACTTTTTGATATTTTTGATGTTATACTTGTACATACTCAAAACGTTTTTGAACGTGCTTGGAACAATTATTTGGCATTAGTGGAACCAGCACGTATTCAATATGGCATGAAAATTTAATTCAAAAAAAATTATTCACGCTGAGTCCCATACGTTTTGTACATCGAAACATGGCCAAGAATCGTGTAGTTACGCATATGAGCCCGTAAGTAAGCAGCAGTCGACTGTATTGTTGTTTTATGGTGAGCCCATCACATTAAAATTCTTCGCGCATGAAGCATTTTCGGGCAAATGGTTGCTTTTTTCAATTTTTTGTTTTTTTAACTGAACATATGGCAACCATACCACTAGAGCACCGCTTAACAGTAAATTCTGAGTGGCACACAGCCATTTGTTTGCCAGTTATCTTTCAAGAAATCAAGAAAACCAACCGTCAGGGACGATCACTTATCAACAAGTCATTAACCTGACTCAGAGATCAAATTTTTCGACAGCTGAAGCGGCGTTTAAAGCTTTAAGAATTAATGTTTTGGAAAATTTCGATTAGAGTATCAGAGATCCCAAATTTGTATGAATTTTAATGGAGAATATTTGGAGAGACAATAAAGTGGTTTTTGTTTTTGTTTTCTATTGGTAAAATGCAACCCTGGTATTAGGTGCATTCTATGTTTAAAGTTATCTATCTAATTGCTTCTACCAAAAAAATTGTCATTTCACAAGAAGATGCAAACCTTTTAAGCTATCCCAACCAAAGGACATGAAGATCATTCTCTTTATCGAAGTGAAATTTCTAGGTATGATCTTAGATTGTCTAAAATTAAATATTTTCTACTGAATATATGTACACAGCGATAGTTGGCATATCCTAATCTCCTGCAGTACCGAGTGGTGGCGTGTACTCGAGACATTACTTTCCGAATCAAAATAGAAAAACTTCAACGGTCTGAAGGTACTCTAATAATAGGACCCTTAAGATCCCTTATTATCTTCTCCTTAGAGGATCAAGTGTTCGCTAGGATACATCAAAATGTCTCGCAGAGTTAACGGATTATACATACAAGGAGGAATAAGAAGATACAAACTTGCTGGATCAGAGAGAACCATAGTCATATTATAGGTAGCTCAAAATTTGGTGACGTATTGATGCGTGGAGCGCACTCAGCTATGAGTATGAGACTACAAGACCATTGAGAAGTCTTACCAGCAAAAGTTTTAAAATCATATACTCCATCAGATGCCTGCTCGATCTCTGGCAGCCAAGTTTAAGTTAGCTCTCTCTCTCTCATAACAATCCGAACAAACTCTGGAATGAATTAACACCGTTGCGATCTTGGTTCCCAGACACAGGGACCTCCAACGTACAATTACATGGCGAACGAACCATAATAAATGATGCAGATGTCCCTTTGTTCATTGAAAAACTAAAACTAGCCTTTTCAAAAAACAGTAAACTTTGCATGGCCGAATGAAATCAAGTGCGACGTGACCAAAAGGATATGCCCAGATTTGGTTGCAAACAAACCAAAGTCTCTTAACTATTAGAGCACTTCACCATTAGCATTACGGCAGATATAATAAAGGGGGACTAATTTTCGGATTAATCACCAATTTAGGTTGGGGTAGGTTGAACTGGCTTAAGATTTTCCGTTCATGCTAGTACCAGTTGCTACTTACGACCAAGCTACACTGCTACACTCTTTATTGTGTCTCTAGTTTGAAGTACATTGCTGTTCCATTCGCAAATCGAAGTCGTCATTTTGGTCATTTCTGCTTTGCCGATTAAAGAAGCTGCAGCTCTTCTGCGTATTGTAAGCATAAGCCTTTGTCTGCAGAACGCACAGCCAGATGAGCTTCACGTAGACACGTTTGGTTAGTTTAGCCTCTAAGCTTTTGTAATTTTCGCGATTCTGAAGCCCTTAGCTCGTACCGAAAGTTTGTTCGACAGACGAAACAGGATCATTTCGTGCATCATCTGCACTTTTCTGAGTGATCTACTCGTATTATTATGTCCTATTATAAAAGAACAGCACCCTTAAACAGTTGGTCAGCTATCTATTTTTTCGTAGTCCATAAGAGGTGTGGCAATAAAGTAATGGAACTGATTATATTACCGACCTGCGACATGTGAAATTCCCTCTCGCTTCTCTCGGCATTCGCTCTAGTTTGTATAGCTCGCTTGCTGTGACGTGTTGACTAAACGTTTGCCACGAAAAATGGAGAAACGAAATCAAGAGCAAAGCGTCGCTATAAAATTTTGCGCCAAATCGGTCGTAACAGCTTCGGTAACGTACATTACAATTGTAAAAAGAGTTGGTTTTTTCAATACGTCCCGAAAACCAAACACCAAAGCTCAAAATAATTGCCTCCGAACGTCCCTCGCCCGAAAAAACTCGAACGAGCAAGTCGAAGGTGAAAACGATGATAATTGCCTTTTTCGATAGTCGTGAAATCGTCCACAATGAATTTCTTCCAGCGGATCAAATCGTAAATCAAGTCTGCTATCGCCAAGTACTCGAAAGATTGCGAAGACGAGTCAACAGGGTGTAGCAGACACCTTCATCACGACAAAGCACCGTGCCACACCACCCTCAGCGTGTTGCAACAACTGCCTTATTCGCTCGATATGCCACCCTGTAACATTTTTTTGTCCCCTGGAACAAAAAACGGTGGGCAAAGGAACCCATTTTGAGTCGATTAAGTACATCCAAGCGGCCGTGACGAGGGAACTCGCGGACATCCCAGTCGAAGCGTTCTAGAAATATTACGAAGCATGGAAAACGCGCTGGAATCTTTGTATTGCTGCCCAAGGGAACCACTTTGAAGGGGATGGCAGAGTTGTAGAATAATTTAAAATATACAGTTTTTATGGAGTCAGTCTCATTAGTTAATTATCACACTCTTAGACAATAAATCCAGCTGTGCCGCTATTTGTATAGCAAATATTTCGGCTTGGAAGATATTGTAATGGTCTTATAGCTTAAATAAAATCATTATGTCCAGTTAGGAATATATCGAATATATCGTCCATAGCCTTCCATCATACTAAGGTAATGCAACGAAGATCCAATGCGCGAGCGAGCGGTGGAAAGGCCCAAGTGCAATCCAAAACAATCCTTCAAATGTATTAAGAGCCGCTGATGACTACTTCCCTCGCTCCTCTACATTGCGGCTCTTGGTGTTTTTCCAACGAATAGAATGGTCTATTTATTTTTATGCAGAACTACATTCCATGGCAAAAATAAACGTATGTAGGTGGCTTGACATTCCCTGCCATGAGACGATCGAAATTTCAAAAAAAAAAAACCTTTCTATAATTTTGGATGTTGATCGGACCCACGACTTGTTTGCACTCGAATGGTAGTACGCACTGCTAACACAGGCTTCTGCGGCCGCTCAGAATAATAAGAAATTAGATCAAATACTTAAAAAATGACTGAATGAATAAAGACTGAAGACATCAAATAGAATAATGAGGTCTCCCCGCCGCCCTGATTTCGGCTGTACTGGTTGAACAGCAAACAAATTTCCCTTCACTATAAATCTTAAGCATGTCTGCTGCCTAAATTTGGCCATAACTTGTCTTAGCTTCGTATTTTCCAATATCTCCACCAGTTCCTGCGACATAATTTGCATATCGGTGTGTGTGGAAGGTGATTCACATACAAATCATCCACAATATATAACTTAAAATACATACACTTTGCAGACGAGTGTTTCCACGTATCATTCACTCGCCTGTTGTGCGTGTATGAAATATTCAATTGTCGTCCATTCGCCTCTTGGCTTTCAAAACTCATTCTGAATGTCATGGCCTTCGCACGGAAATTGTGGTTTTCAGTTTTGCCTTCATTTTTGGGTTGTTTTCGTTTTTTTTTTCATTTTATTTTTCGGCCAGTAATTCTGGCTACTCACATGTGGGTGTGGTGTGGTTCAATGCAAATATTTACGTGTATGTATGTAGTTGTATACTCGTATTGTCTTTGACATTTGACAACGGTGATATTGTTTGCATGGCAAATATTTGATTTTTGGCTTTCTTGCGGTATTTTTTATTTTTAATTTTTTATTTTTTTATTGTATTTTTGATTTTCAATTCAACTTAATTAAAATGTAAATCGATTGTTTTTTTCTCTTCGTTTTTTAATTTTTTATTTTTATTTTTTTTTTGGATGTGCGCCGAGTGGTTAATGATTTTGCACGTTTCCTTCGACACAAAACGTGTGTTGGATGAAGTAAGGTCGTTAACGGCTTGAAGAGCGCTGTTATGTTCATATGTATATGTGTGGATATTTCACATTTGTTTTTTTTTGCAATTTTAGAAGCTTAAAAAATCACTACCAGAAGAATAAAAATTGCTATAAATAATTTTTAAATATAAATATACAAATTCTATATGTCGAAACTCCTTATATTCGTTGTTCAAAGATCCAGTAATTTCCAAAACTTAGCCATCCATAAGCTTTAGATTGTTTCTATGATTGCGTTGAAGGTTAATACGAAACAAAATTTCCGGAAAGTGATCCATAAATTAAGTTTTCAGCTACATTAGAGGCAAATATCTGGAATGGAGGTCTGAAATATGCAGACAAAGCTCTTCATGTTTTCTCAGATGATTCTAAAATCAACGAAGTAGTGGACTCAACTTGAGATTAGGCAGTTGTATAAGCTGCCAAGCTATTGCAGTACCTTCTAAGCCGAAAGTTTGGCCAGAAAAAGAGCGGCGGAGCTGTTGTTGTTGTTGTTGTTGTTGTTGTTGTTGTTGTTGTTGTAGCGGTTTGCTAACCCCGCTTAGGCACAGGTTTGATCATCCTATGTCGCCGAGGTCAAATAATGGGAGGTCCAGGAAACGAGCTGTTTCGACGGGATTGGACCAAAGGGAGAGGGGGTTTAGATGAGTCGGTTTAAGGGGACATTCA